CAACAGGGTTACAAAGAGTGTTCTCTCCCTGCTAAAGACAGCTATTCTGCTAGGATGGGGTTGCCACAGGATTGAAATCTAGGTTCTTCAATGAGCTTTCTGAACCCCAAATCCCCCTGGGAGAGTGAGAGCAGAGTGCAGCAGGCAGAGAGACCAGGGTCCTCAAGAAGGCTCTGTACAACCCAGATGCCCACGCAGGGATGCCCAGTAACTTAGTGCCCAGCAGTACCCTAGGAAGCGGTGTGTGAAGCAGCAGTAGATGAGTTTGTCCAGGTAGCCGTTAAGGCCCAGCAATGCCAAGCTGAGGGTGTGCAGGATGCAGAGCACGGAGACGGCACAGCACCTGGCACCTTTTGCCTGGCCACCCAGAACACCAGCAGTGTGTGGTAGGAAGCCAGGCCAAGGATGAAGACGACAACAGTCCCAAGACCGTGGTCATTCCTGGCCCTGTGCCACTGAGAACTGGCAAGGCAGGGTAGGTCTAGAGCCAGGAGGGGTTCAGAGCACTGAGCCAAACTCACTAGGGTCCAAGCACCTTCAGAAAAGAAGCCACGACAAAGAAGGCCCTGGTGACCCAAGACAGGCCTGAGTGTGCCCAGCTGTGCTCCACCTGGCCCACACTGAGTAGGTACAGACTCAAGGCCTGGCCAGGCACCCACTGCTGCAGACAAACACTGCCAGCAGAGCCTCAGTAGCAGGCATCCCTGGACCCAGCATCAAGTCTGAGGGCTAGTTGATCAATCCAACTAGCTCATCCTAGGGACTACAGCCTCCAAAACCAGGTGCTCTCACCCCTCACCTTGAACTGGGGAAGAAGAAGACAGGTCACTGTGGGGGCCTGGCTACAAAAAGAAGATCCCATTCTAGCCTCTCCCCATCGCGGTCCCCTCTCCTTTAGTCCTTGCTGGGAGGGAACAGTAGAGGCAAGGAAGTCCATGAGAGAAGGCATGAGAACCAAATTCAGCCAGAGAGGAGGGTGATGGATTCCAGAGTTCTTGGTGAAAAGCAGTGGGAGATGAGGAAAAAGCAATTCCAAACAGCTCAAAATTTTCCAGCCTTGGCAACTAGGAAGATGGACGTGCCCCTCACTGATGGAGTATGGTCAAAGATGTGGGCCGCAGATACGTGAAGTAAACCCACACAAGGCTGGACCAACAAGGAGTTTCACAGAAAACAAGCTGGAATATAGAGAGCCCTTCCCAGAAAAAGCCCCAGCCCTCCCTGTGCCACCCATATCCGCGGTGGAGGGAGTGAGGCAGAGATGCAGGAATGGTCTAGTGATGCAGGGGCCAAAGACAGACTTATGCATGTGACCTTGGGCTCACCTTGGCGAAGGTCTCCTGGGAAGGTGCCTCAAGATTTGCCTACAACACCCTCCACAGAGCTGAAAAGGTTTCACAGCGCCCAAGCCTTCCTGGCTGTTTCCTCCTACTTCACCTTTTCACCACAACGAAGTCCCAGGTCAGGCTCAGAATTCTGGACAGCAAACCAAAGAGAACACAGGCCCAGAAACCTGGCAGCACCTGGACACATTCATTTATTTTCCATGTAACCTTGGGCGAGTTACTCAGCCTCCCTGAGGCTGACTTCACTGCTATAAAATGGAGATTAAAATACCTACCTCATAGGCTTGTTGGAAGGATTATGAGAAAACATAAGTAAAACTGGGCTGCCAATGGGGAGATACTTCATAACTGTTTAGCTCCCTTCCCTTTGAGGCACACAGATAAATGTATACACCCACACAGGCACACATACAGTGTTAGAGACAGACACCCCGAGCAAGCAAAACAACACAAAAACATCTGGACATATCCTACCCTCTCCCCAAGGGGAATAAGTGCGTAAGTCAATGTCCTGTTACTATTTTTGACACTTGAACATATTCCTAGGAGGTTCTAAAACTCAGTCCTTCAATACCAAAAGCTGGACTTTTGCCCCTGAGCCGCTCAGGCTCTGGTCTTCTACAGGAGCTAGTGAGTGTATTTTATTCTCCTCCGCCTTTAGTTCTGTCCACCTCAGCTCTAGCCCGCAACAAAGCCATCCAGAACCTCCCTCCATCATCCCATAAGATCATGCAGCTTACCTCTTAATCTAGGTGCTAGAGCTCTCTGGGGTCCTGAGGTCTGAGCTTTAAGGTGCTGAGACAGGCAGACAACATCCCCTCCCAGCCACATATCCCAGGAGCTCCAAGGTAATCCCCAGGACATGCCTGGAAGGATGCGCCCAACAGCTGGAGGTGGCAGCTGTGAGCTGGGTTTGTGGGGGTGCAGCCAGGTCCCCAAGGAAAGTCATGTAGGGCAGGAGGGCCTTCAGCACAGGAAGGCAGGTCGATATTAGGAAGACTGGGCAGCTGAACGTCACTGCGCTGAGCTGGCCTACACTTAGGCTATGGATTAGGGGGTACATATTTTCTGAGGCCTGGCTTCCCCTTGGGTATCAAGGAGGTACTGCTGAAGCTCAAGGTACTCCTACTGCTGTCAGTCAATTCCTCAACACCAAGTGGCCAGCCCTTTTCTCCAGCACTTTGCCTGTCCCACAGCTGCTGGGCCAGCCCTACAACCAAGCTTGGGGAGCTGGTTGCTGCTGATGTCCCTGTAGAGAAGGCCAAGCCTTGCTAAACAGATGCCCTCAACCCCATACCAACTGTGAGAAGTTTCACTCAAAGTCCTGACAGGAGATGGGCTGGCTGTGGCACCCTGGAAGGGGTGGAGAAACTACGAGGCCACGATCTCACGGCCTCCAGGCTTTATTTTCATGAGCTTCAAAATTTTCACGCAGAGCGGGCAACGCTGGACAGCAGGAAAGATTTACTCACAGTGCACAGGTCATCCCAGGTGTTGTGCTCGCCGACTTTCAGCTTTGGCAGCTGGTACAGTGGAAAGCGCGGGTTCTGGAATCAATCAGGCCTTACTTTCAGACTCAGTTTTGACACACAGGTGATAAAGCTTTCCAGACCTGTATTCTCATTGGTAAAACAACTCAATATTTAATAATAGCCTTTACTGAGCACTTACTAGGTTCCAGGCTGTGAAATATTTACTGTTACGGTCCATATTTTCTTTAAACATTATGAAGTGCCAGCTCAATGGTGCACATCTGTAACCCCAGCTACTCAGAAGGCTGAGGCAGGAGGATCGTAAGTTTAAGGCCAGTCTGGACAACACAGTGAGACCCTGTCTCAAAAAATAAAGAGTTGAAGATATCGTTCAGTGATTGAGTACTTGGGTAGTATGAACACTGCCCTGGGTTGTTGTTGTTTATTTATTTATTTATTTATTTTGGTACCGGGAGTCGAACTCATAACCTCACGCTTGCCTGGCAGGCGCTTGCACCAAGCTATATCCCCAGCCCATGCCCTGGGGCTTAATATCCAGCATGGGGAAGTAGAGAGAGGAAGTGGCAGACAATATCATCC